GTGCTAAAAAGTTGTTGTAAGCAAATTATTTTCTGTTAAATTTGTAAAATAAAAATATACATATATCGGGAAAATGTCGCGTGCATTATATTTTGAAAGTGAAGAAACGGTAGTAAGTGAAGAAACGCAAGCTATTCAAAGACGACATATAAGAGATTCAACTAATCCATTGGATTTAGACAACAAAATGTATGTTTATGTACCTATTTTATTTTATTATTTACATATATAATATGTACACATTTTTTAGGTTTATCCAGAATTTCAGATTATCATTCCTTGCCAGGTTTAAGTCCTCTTCCATTTTTTCTACTAACCGCGCAATTTGTTTTTTGTTGCTTACGATTTTACTCCTAAATAAAATATATGAATAACATTTTGAAAGAAAATAATTTAGAAAAAATGCTTACATTTTAAAAAAAGCAATCAATTACACCAGTTTCCTTGATAAAATGAAGATTTTACAAAAAAAAAAAAATCTGTCGTTTAAAAATTTGTACCCGCTTTTAAATCGGGGAAAACCCGACAATTTATCGTTTTCATAATACCAGCTAATACGTTTTCTATACAGTGAAAAAAAGCTTTCCCGACTCCGATAAAATTTACCGATAAACAATGTTGGTAATACAAACACAAAATTTTGCCGATAAATTATCGTTTATCGGCCGATACCGATATACATAATAGAGGGGAATTATATAATATCTACTTAAAAATTTTTAATTTTCCCTATCCCCTCAGGTTTTAAATTGGTATATCATAAAATATTCATGTTTTTTTTCTGATAAATATATTGACAATTCATAAATTATATCAAGTATCGTTATAATACACACTTTGGTGTGTAGTAGTAGGTACAACACTACAGCACATTATATGAACTCAAGTGATAAATAAACAAAATTTTAAAATGTAATGATATCAGTTTCTGAACTTTTATATGGTGAACGGAAAATTTTATATAATTCACTACTATAAACATAAATTGTCAATTCGTAAAATATTATCAAATTATTAAATAATATTAAATATCAATATATGGGTAATTCGAATAACAAATAATCAATTCAAAAATGTATGAGATCGAAATAACATGTGCATATATAAGCACAAAATACAGGGCGAGCTTTATATGTTCTATTCTATAAATATGTAGATTGTAATATACTTAAATTGAATAAAATACTCACTATTTGTTCATTATAAACAAAAATATATTCAGTTGAAGTAATAAATGGTATATAATAAGGTATCAACTAGACAAGTAAAGTTAGTTTTTTTTTCATTACTCTCTGTATCTATATGCAACGGGTAAAACTATATACCGGCTAGCGAAAAAAAAGAAGAATATTCGGATTTAACATATGTTAGATTCAGCAATTAAATTGTACAAGATTCAGCAAAATGTCTTAGTCCAGTGTTATATCTATACTATCTTTGTTTTCATCTAAAATAAAGAACTTATAATAAAATAATAAAGAATAATACAATATAAATGAGGCTTATGACTTTTGAGTCAATCTGTCAGTGCGTTCGATCACTCTTATTTTCATAAAGAAGTTAAGATATTTTAAAAAAGTCATCAAAAGTAAACCTATTATTTGTTATTAGTTATTTAAAAAATTTTATAAAAAAAACTTACATTTTCAATCTTTTCATATTTTCAATTCATCTTTATTAAAAAACCTCTTGTAAATTGATATTGAAAACTAGAAATATGAAGTATTTTTCCTCCAAACTTGTTATTCATAGTTTAATTTTCCTAAAAGATAAAAAATAAAAATCAAAATTAATTGAAATTTTTAATATTTAATTTTCATGTATTTTTGTTCGGTTAAACTCTTGTTGTCTTGTTCTTTAAATATGACTTAATAGATTTCTTTCTTAATATTCAGGCAAATGTCTAGAGCACGTAAACATGAAACTTTCCAATTTTTCGTTGATAAATTTTTCTAATTTTGTTTTCATATTATATTTCTTATTAACTCGGTAATAATTCTTACTGTAAAACTAGAATAAACATTAAAAACAATTTTATTATATAAAATTAAATAAACTGCGTTATACGTTCATTGAACTGTTGAAAACTTTTTATTCTGTTACCAATAAAATGTTTGCAATAAATTGGCATAATGGTTTTTTAATGCCGCAATTTAAAGAATAGTATATAAGACAATTGAAGGAGTCAATGCAATTTCATTTAGAGTAATGTATGAATGTAAAGCTACTTTATAATATAAAGGAGCTAATAAATAAAAGACCTAAACAATAGGTCTATAATTAATATCGGATTTTTGCATCGTCGACGTACTGCATACACAGAACATAACACATTTTTTTCAACCTCGATTTTAATGATAATTTAAGATATGAAAAGGTATTTTTTCCAGTGAAAAGTGAAAATATTACTGGATTTCATCATTTACTCACCCCCTAATTTCTATTCTAAAATAGATTGCAATTATCTTATTTATAAAGTTTTGTAAAATGTATTAAATAAATTTTCAAAATTGTATAAACAAATTTTCCGAAAGAAGCTACACTTAAAATTCGATTTTACATTTTTTGGTTTTTAAATAAACGAAAAATAACAGGCAAATAATTTTCTCGGTTTTATATTATAAACAATTTTTTCTGCCCTTGTCACATAATTATGTAAGATTTTTATCCTTAAGCAAAGAACTACATACATAGCTATAATAATGATACTCTCATGTTCATTAACACTATTTTTCATCAAGATTAGCACGTCTCTATTTTATTTGCCTTGCTTTTTTTTCTTCTTATTTTATTCAAATAAGTGAAGATTTTAATGAAAAATTAAAAAGCTTTTGTATAGTATATACATATGTAGTTGTTTTAAATCTTTTTCTATAAATCTTTGTCATCAAAATTGGTTGAAAATTGATATTGATAAAAAATGTTCTCATACTATACAGTAATTTAACCATTACTCTTGAGACTTTAAATAAATAAATTCAAAATTTATTTATTAAAAATTTTTTAACTATGAATCCATTAATATTTAATCTTAAGCTTAGAACTTTACAGGTTTGATGCACAACTATATTTGAAAGTACATTAAATTTAATTCTATAAATACTTCATATAAATTGTTTAATCTAAGCCTATTCAAAATTAAATGGGATAAAAATAATTTGAGTATTATAAAAAATTTCTATTGTGGATTCTACCAAATCACTTCTGTATATTTAGTGAATGTGATTCACACTATACCATCAGTAATATCTTTATATATTTATATGTATATAGGTACTAAATATTTAAGTGCGTTTGAATAATAAAGCTTAAACATAGCTTTCAAACATTTTCAACTTAATTCATAATTTTTTCAATTATTTTTTATAAATACATATTATGAAATACATAACAGATGAATATTTACATATACAAATGTATATACATAAAGGTGTGTATTTATATAAGATGAAAAAAAACCATTATATTAACAAGTAACCTGGCGCAGTATAACATCTGTAAAACCAAATTGTATGTTTTTTTTTCTTTTGTTTTAAATTATAAGAAATTTATCAGAAAAAATAATTTACTATATACAACAATTTTATTATTAATTACTTATATTTTTTCTTTATATTTATACGAATCCGTATAGATGTGTTGAATATATACATTCTTGTAAACGGCAGCTATATATATAAATAATAATTGAATGTACAGTGAGATACAATTATAAAAATAAAATCTATTCAGAAATTTAACAGCTTCCTGAATGTAATTATTATAATACATAACTTCTATATTTATTGGATATTAGACTATATGCATATACATAATAAAATTTAGTTTATTAAAGTGCAGCTCAACATTTTATAAATTGTTATTATGATGACTTTCATAACTATGTAAAAGAATTCAGTAGTAGAATTCTAGCCTCTATTATCGTTGCTTACCCAGGATGGAGTACCACTGTATATAGACACATGAATGCGTTATTTATAAGCTATATACAAAAGAAAAACGTTAAATCTCACATGCTGCACTTCTTATTTATATTTTTAAATATTTCTGATCTTGTATGATGGTTGATTTTGATGAAAATTATTATAATAATGATAGTATTTTTAAAAGTTGTATTTCGATATGAATTGACGATGGTTATTATCACGATAACTATTTTGTAATTTTGGTTTTTAAAGCTTTTCATATTATAAAATTATTCACATATTATGATAATAAGAAGTACAAATACAATAATATTACATTCATGTGATTTACTTTGGTATAATATGTAAATATATGAATATATGTTATTTCGTATACCTTCAAATACAATATGAGTTTGTGTATGTACGCATGTATATGCTTAAAACGTTAATAAATACCAACTTGAAAATTTTTTAAAGAAGGAAAAATCACGTTTCATTTTTTTAATAAATGTTTTGTACATGCATATACTTTCACGTATAGTACGTACTTTTAGATATATATACATATGTACATATAATTATATTTTATCTCAATGCATTTTTTAATGTATGAATATAACAATAAACACACGCAGAAAATTTTGTATAAATGACCAATTGCAAGTTGATTCTTTTGTAGGTCAAATAATGCGGTTATTAAGAAAAATAAATTTTTTTTTAAATAAATTTTACGACATTACTGTTTCTGATGTTTTGCTTATTTTTAAACAAAAATTAGAATTCATTAGATATTTGTGCATATTCAAAAAAGTATTTCAAATTCACAATTATTTCACAAATTAATAATTTTAATTGGGTTCTTAATGTAAAAATAACTTGTATAGCTTTATCTATACCCATATGACTAGAATATAGAATTTAAAAGTATTACTGTTTCATAATGCGAACTATATACTTAAACATAAGATATTGTTATAACCTGTTAAACATATCATATTTTTTAGTAATATTTTTTTTCAACATAATTAAAATTATTTAAATAGAAATTTATTAAAAATCTAATATTTTTTTAATTTAATTTTCTCTTTTTAGGCTCAGTTTATTCTTTGCATCATTCATACAACGCGTGCCTTATTAAATACTCAATGTCAATTCTCAAAATTCATTTCAGCTTTATTATTACTTAATGCATCAATATTCTTCTGCTTATTTATGAATTTCTATGTTCAAAATTATAACAAAACAGCAGCTTTATTAACAAAAAATACAATGGTACCACAACAACAACAGCAACAACCACAACAACAGTCACAGCCCATATCAAATGGAGTAGATAATAAAAAAACTCAATAAAAAAAATTAAATTAAAATTAATTAATTAATTAGCTTTAAATTAAAATATCCTTCTATATATACATATATATATATATTATTCTAGCTATATTATAAAATATTTAAATTTTAAAATAAAATTTTAAAAAAATTCATGCGGTTAAAGACAATAATTTAAATTAAAATGTAAATTTAAAAAGCAAAAAAAAAACAAAAAAAAAGTTTAGTAAATTATAAAAAATTTTTTATTTTCTTCTAAAAAGAAAAACAAAGATATTAGAAAAGTTAAATATAAAATTTTAAGAAGAAAAATAAAAGCCAGCATTGTAAATATGAAAATTAATTTTACTCTCATATAAATTTATTTTTATATATAAATATTATGTATTTTAATTATATTTAATTAAAATATAAATAAAAAAAATGACTTGCCAGAGATTGTATGCCTATATAAAAATACTTTTTATCTAGATTAAATTTTTTCTATTTTTTAATAATATAAACGAAAAAAAAAATAATGATTTAAGACTAAAATATTTTATGTATATGAACTTAATAATTTCGAAAAAAAAATAATAAAATTTGAAAAGCTTTCCAAAATTCTCAAATTAAAACCAAAACATATTCAAATTTAAAGAAAAAAAAAACTTTTCAAATTTTTTTATTAAAGAAATTATTTAATTCTTTCCATCATTGATCGTATAAAATTCAATATTTTCATATTTTTCAAAGAAAAACATGAAAATTATTTAAAAAAAATTTAAGAATATTTTGTTATTAATCGCATTATATATTTAAATAATTAAATTACGATATAATTTGTATAAGGCAAAAGCTTAATTTCATATCCTTCGAAAGAAAACTTTTCAAAAGAGACAATTGTTATAGTATAGCCAAGGTGAAAATAATAAAAATAAAACTAGTTCGTACGCAAATCATATAAAATGTCCAAAGTGAGCGCATGAGAACGTTTGTCTTTGATTCTTATGTTGCGATAAATTGGCTCCCAATTTAATTCTATATTGACCTTTTGAGAATTCAATTAAGCTTTGCAAAAATTAATGTCTACTTCGGCAATAAAAAAACTCTTGTATTTTTACTTTTAATTTCTGCTCATACACAAAAAGAAAAGTTCCTTGTTTTAAAGACTTAAAATTAAAAGCAATTAATTGCAACTTTTATTCTTATAATTTTATAATTTCGTTTACCTCAATGAAAATTGAAAGAATAAAGTTTTTATTCAACAATTATTCCAAAATATTCCAAAAAAATTTTAATTAACAATTTTTTTCTAATATTTACCAAGAAATTAATAACAAAATATTCTTTAATTTTTATTATACTTTTCAACGAATATTCAAATATAATTTCTCCATGTGATATTTGTTAGTTCTAAAAAAAAAAATAAAAAAAAATATTACATTTATCGAGAAATTTTATTGAGGGCTTTAAGCATTTAATTAATCAATTTACTACATAATATAATATATTTTTCATATAAATAATTTAAAACAAAATGGAAAATATTTCAATACATAATTACATAATCTATTTTTGTACAATTTTGTATTTTAATATTATATTCCGTCCATTTTTTACTCACTCTAACTTCATATTTAATTTTCATTATTTTTTTAATTTTGAAACATCTTTTTTTGTTTATTTTTAATTTATTTTTATACTTTTTAAATTATTTATATAATTAATATATTATATATATATGTATGTATATATACAATTATTATATGTAATTATTTTGTGACAATTAAGTTGTTGTTTTAATTAATTTAGGTACTGTTTTTATTTATGATTATTAAAAGAAAAAAAAAGAAATCTTTTTTTAAGTATTTATCGTCTTAAATTCTGAATCTAACTTTAATGCAATAAATTATAAAAATAAATTAATTTTCTTTTCTGCAGAATTCCGTTATATATATATATATACATTTATAAATGTATTAATGTATATATATATATACATTTGTAGAATATAAAATTGTGTTAATTTAATTGAAAAAAGAAACTAAATTTCCTTTTATTAAAATTTTTGAATAAATTATTATCCTTTATACTCTTGAAATTCGCTTAATTCGCTTAAGAGTAAAAATGTTATTTCCTTTTATATTATATCCTAAATATACATATATAATACTCTATCATCTTGTACTACATAATATTCTCTTATAATATAATATATACGTAGTATTTTGGAAATAAAAAGAAAACTTTAAAATAAATTAAATTTACATTTATATACTTCAAATTTTGGTGTCTCGAAAATTAATATTTAATTTCATATATATTATATTAATGCGTATTAAGTGTGTATAATATTTTTATACATGTTATGAATGTGTATAAATATGTAACATAAAAAAGAAAACCGTGCTAAGCATTTTCTTTTCATAGAAGAAAATAAAGAATAATTACAAAAATTTTTAGTAAAAAAGGATAAAAATAAATAAAAGTATTATTTCCTGACTTCAAAATTTTAGTAATATGATATTGATTCACGAATCAAAACTCATAGGTTCAATTCTTATACTATATTACTTTAATTATGAAGTAAGGAATTCTAACAAAAAGAAGCAATACTTTTAAAAAGAATCATTTTATCATTTTTTACTAATAGACGATTGAAAGATGATATCGCCATTAAGATGAGAGAAATAAGTTTTTGAAATCATCTTGAATGTATTTTATTAATAAATTATAAAATTAAACAAAATTATTTTGTAGGTGTGATTAAAATAAAAATTTTCTTTAAAATAAAAACATAAATAATGTTTTCATATATCAATAAAATGTAATACTTGTATATAATACATAAGTCAGATTTATTTTATATTTGAAATTCTTTTTTTTTTAAATAAATTAATAAAATATGCATTTTTATAAATACAAATCTTTTATCAATAAATGCAACATAATATCGTTGAATAAAATATTTATAAATTATTATTTTAATTAATACAAATTAAATATATTAAATAAATAATCGCAAAAATCGAAATATATTCTCAATTAATACACATTTTATTAATTACCTACTTAAAAAAAATTTTTGAAACGGTAAAAAGAATTTCCAAATATAAAATTATCTTTTTATGTACCATAAATACACGTTAAGTAAACCAAAAAAATATAAAATATTAATTTTAAAATAAATAATTATATTTATTTATTTTATAAAAAAAATGAAAGAATAAATCAAATTTTATAGAATAAATAAAAATAATTAGGAAAAAATTTATAATATATTAATTTTAATAGTTGCGATATTATAAAAATTTTACTGAAAAGAAATTGCATAATGTAGAAAAAATTAATAAAAAACTGTTGCAAGATTATAGCTGTAAATAAAGGAAACAAAGATATTATTTTTGAATTAATTGTAGAGAATCGCAAAAAAAAATTAATGAAATTATTTTTACAATAGTTCAAAAAATAGCAAAAGAAAAATTAATTTGCAAACAAGTAATTATTAGATATTTTATATAGAATATATAAATATAATAATATAGAATAAAGAATGTAAAAAATGTATATATATTCAAATTATTACAATCTACTTTGGTCTTTTTACTTTTTTCTTAAGCTTAAGAATAAATCCTCAATAATAACCATTCCTTTCTAAACATTCTACAACAACTTTCCTTATATAACATTGAATGACTCAATAACCGTCTGCATGCTATAAATCCACCAAGAATATTACAAATAACCCCAAGAAATTTTAAGGGTGAGAAATATTGTACACTTTTTATGATGGCATATGATAAAAAATATTAATACATACCTGGAACCAAAATTTTCAACAATAATCTGTTGTTAAAGTGCAGTGTAGATCTGTTTTTATTTTTAATTCGATAATTTTTAGCACTTTTCCAAAACTTTTTTGAAAAAAAAGTGCTTATTAGTTTCACTCTGTCCGTCCGTCCATCCGTCCGTCCGTCTGTCTGTGGACACTTTTTTTGTTTACAAAACTTCTACACCCTTGAAGATAGAAAGCTGAAATTTAATACGTACATAGATCTTTACTAGAAACTTATTTCCACAGAATAATATTTTTACCTATCTCCCCCCCTCTAGAAGTTATACCCCCCCCCACCCCGCCAAAACCCTAAAAATGGCCTTTTTTAACTATTTGTTGCAATGAAACCATAAGCATTTTACAAATTTTGCAAACGCATAAAGGTAGCGGCTTGCTTGTTCTATCGCGGCATGCTATACTTAAACTTTAAAAAAACAAAATGGCCGTTGAAATTTACCGGAACATTCATGTATAAAGATATTTTCCACCAAGATCAAACTATCTTTAAATTCTATTCCTTCGATTTGTTTTTAAAATGAAACCTACAAAGAATCGAAAATTAATATGATAATTGTATGTATATACATACATATTATATGCATAGATGTTACTTGTAATTCGTAAAACTTATTTTGTATATATATAGTACTTATTTGAATTAATTTTTTAAAAATACAACATTGGAAGGTATATATGTACGTATATACGTGTTCATATACCTTAAAGTAATGATTCAATACTTACAATCTCTCTAACTTTGCTTCTAATTCGAGTATTGATTAGAATACCGCATATTACTTCTTCTTCTATATAAATTAATAACAGAAATAGGAACTTGACTTTGCTTTTTTGCATGGTCCTAGAATTTTAAATATTAACAGAGCAGACCATGGGTATCCTTTGACCAAAATTTTTGCTTAATTTTGAAATTGTAGCGCTCAAATTATTAATTGCGTTACTTATGAACAATGACATTTTTAAAAATAAATTTAAAATCAAACGGAAGTTACCAAGCGTTTACATAAGGATATTATTGGCAGGAAAGTTTATGTAATGGTCATTCTTGTTTTTCAAAGTTGAAAATTTTTAACTTATTTGTAGATGCCTTTAAAAATTTTTTGTTTACATTTTCAGAATAAAAGTACTTTTGTTTACATTTTCAGAATTTCTTTTGTTCTTTTGCTTGTTTTTTTTTTTGATTTGATCATTGAAAAAAAAAAATCAAATAACTTACTTAATTTTCTAGTAGTAAAATTTTCTTGTCAATTGACCTCACCATTTGATCGAGCAGTTCTAAATCTACGATAGGAGATAACAAATTCAAATCAAATTTTATCTAAGTTATCGTAGAAAGAACTTTTCGTGGTTCGTGAGCGTGTTTCTTTCTGACGAAGAATTATTATTGAATTTTTTAACAATTTATCATATAGCTACTTTGAAGTTGTCAAAAAATAATTCAGATAGTTGTTGTCCAGTTATTTTGAAAATAGGCTTAATTCTTATTAATATTTAAAATTTAACTGAGTTTTTTTTTTTTTAATTTTTGGCTCGTCAAGAGATGGATCTAATAAATTATACAGTTTTTTTGTGACAACGTCAAAATATATCTTTAAATAAAACCAACTTGTCAAAAAATTAAATAACACGGCGTCACTTTCCGCGTCTCTTTTAATTTTGTCGATGTCAATTTTATGCAATGCCTTCTATTTAAACTTCAAAACTACGTGAGCGTGAGGGAAATCGAAGTATGGTGAAAAACTGATATTGTTACTTATACTGATTTAACTAAAGCAAGCATTCAATAACAAAATTTTATTGCCAAAAACTGGTCTTAAAAATTTTAACTGCCGTCAATTGATTGTGCTTACATCAAATCGAAAATAATTCTTATTGTAATACAACGACCAATAATAGATCATTAATACACTTTTTATGTAGAAGTTTATCATTTTTCCTTTTATAGAACTTGAGCTTGTATTGAAAGCGTACTTGTTTATGTACGCATAATGCATCAAAAAGGTTCTTTTCAAACTACTTGAAAGTTTGAAAAGAACCTTTTTGACTACTACTTGAAAGTTTGAAAAGAACCTTTTTGAACACTACTGTCTAGTGTACAATAGACATATATAATTCATTTAACTTAATGTTCTATGTCAAGTAAATGAAATATCAAGGATCATTCAACTCTCTTTTCTCCTTCGCATGTACATATAAAAGGCATGTGTTCCTATTTAGCAATTAAAAGTCTGATTGTCTATAACACTAGTTTACTCGGAAGGTGAGAAGAAAGTGAGTAACTATCATGTATTTGTATAATGTTATTTTCGAGTGAGAATAATTATTTGGTATTGCGTATCATGTTTTTTTCTAAAATGTGAGACGTTCAGTCGGTAAATTGAAAAAAAAACGCAAAAATCCAATTAAAAAATTGTGCAATCTCATTGGAAAAGTAAAATATCCATTAGAAAATATTGAGAATTCTGATTTGAAAGTGAATTAAAAATGAGTAAAAAAGTGAAATACCCTTCAGATTTCTTTTCTTCTTTTCAGAAGAAAATCAGCTTTGATAAAGTGCGTATGTAGCGCACGAAATATATTAGCGAAAAATAAAAGTATTTTATTCCGAATAAAAGAAAGTTTTCTTTTCACACCAATTAAAAAAAAAATTAATTGTGATTAATGTATGTTTTCAACGTTCAAGTCCTCATTTTGAACTAATCTAAAAACTTAAGAGCATCTGGTATCTTTTTTTTGTTTTTTAAGCAATGGCAGTACCAATTAAATAAAAATAACTAGATTGTCAAAAATTGACGATTAGTTGACATTTCAATCAAAGTGGGATTTAGTGCGAAAATTAAAGAATATTATATTTACATTTTATAAATACAAATGAAAAAAAGAATTAGTTTGAGGATTTATGTTTTTTAAAATCAAATTTTTTATTTCAAAATAAAAAAAAAATTATGGAAATTATCATTGGAGTTATTCTTAATTAAATATTTTTGAATATATGTATTTTTTTTGTTATAAGGGTGGCGCCTTCATTGGCTGATATAAATAATTTTCAACTTCCTGATTTTATAACAAATTTTGAAGGCAAACTAGTTGAACAAATTTTAATTGAATATAAATAAATATAATCATTGGAAAACTAAATTAAAATTTTTGTTTACTATAGTATTACAAAATTTCAAATGACCGTGACAGCAGCAATGGATATTAACGTAACTACCGAAATTCATAATGAATATCCAAACCATTTGCAACATCAACAAAATGTTAGAACAGTTTTAAAACCATCTCCTTCGGGAACAAAAATGTTTATAGAAAGTAATCCATTATTTTATCGGGACAATTCTGAAGCATGCTTAGATATATCACAAGGTGGTAATGAGTATGACGAAACACAAAATCAGGTGACATGGTTAGATGACGAAGAAATAGATCAACTAGACTTTCCGCTAACAGTTGATCCTAACAATATGTTTTTCAATCGCGTGGATAGTGCGGAGATAATTTATAAAAAAAAGAAAAAAGTTTGTAAAATGGTTGGGAAATATGTCATGGGTGATATTTTAGGGGAAGGATCATATGGGAAGGTAAAAGAAGTGCTTGATTCTGAAACTTTAAATCGTAGGGCTGTGAAAATATTAACAAAACGTAAACTGAGACGTATTCCAAATGGAGAACAAAATGTCCAAAGAGAAATACAACTACTAAAAAATTTGAGGCACACAAATGTTATTGAGTTAATTGATGTATTATATAACGAAGAGAAGCAAAAGATGTATTTAATTATGGAATATTGTGTTGGAGGCTTACAAGTAAGTTTTAAATTACAAAAATCCATTTGAATAATTACATAAAATAAACTAAAATTTTACATTCAAAGGAAATGCTAGATTATGCACCACAAAAGAAACTACCTCTATTCCAAGCACACAAATATTTTGTTCAATTAATAGAAGGTCTCGAATATTTACACGGACGTGGTGTAATACATAAGGACATAAAACCAGGAAACCTTTTGTTAACCTTAGATCATACATTAAAAATTTCGGATTTTGGAGTAGCGGAGCAATTGGATACTTTTGCCATTGATGATACTTGCACAACAGGACAAGGTTCACCAGCTTTTCAGCCACCAGAAATTGCGAATGGCTTGGAGTCATTTTCTGGCTATAAGGTTGATATATGGAGTAGTGGAGTAACATTGTAACAAACAGAAGTGAATGCAAAACAATTGACTTCATAGTATTTATTTTTAGATATAATATAACAACTGGCTTATATCCATTTGAAGGTGACAATATTTATAGACTACTTGAAAATATAGGAAAAAGTCAGTGGGAAGTACCTGGATGGTATATTGATTTGGACAAAAACTTAGCCGAACTTGTTTTAGGAATGTTGCAAGCTGACCCCTATCATCGATTATCTTTACAAAAAATTAGATACCAACCGTAAGAATAAAAAAAAAAATTAATCACATAATTTAGCATTTTAACATTTAATTTATAATTAGATGGTATTTAACAGCACCAGAAGAAAAAGGACCTCCAGTTTCTATCCCACCCTTAAAACACGATGAATTACGTTCTTCGACAGTACTGCCTTATCTAGAAGCTTATAATTACGATTTAGAGCGTGAAGAGGAGGTTTATTTTACAGAACATGATCTTAATCGTAAATATATGATTTAAATATTAAAAACTTTTTTTTTACAAATATTTTTTGAAACAATGTAAATTTTTGTAGAAGAACTAGCTCGACAAGCTGCGGCTGCAGCTGCTGAAATCAAAGCAAATAAAAGCACATCTGGAAATGACGCTACTGGTCATCATAGTAGAACAAATTTTAAAGCAGGCCCCGATACAACATTATCAGTATCGAAATACCCAAATTATAATACAAATTCAGACATTAAACAGAATAGTAAACAGAATACATCATCATCTGGTAAAAGACGATCCAAAAAATCACTTTCTTGTATTCCGGTTAGGAAGTTAACACATTGCCGAACTTCGTGAAAAAATTTCCTAATATAAAATTATGAGCTTAAATTTACGAATGCATAAAGCTATATTAATATAATTATTAATAAATTTTCTATTTTATACTTATTTACGGTTAACAATAATCATTTTTCTATTTTTAACAATTTAAAGAAATCGATTAATTGCCATTTAATTATGTAAAATTTCTGTTTCTTTTTAATTTCATATTTTCATTAACATTTTTCTTCCTTTTCTATCAATGCTTTTCATTCTTATTTCTTTTTATTTTGTCAAATTTGCTTTTATATTAATTATATATTTTATTTTTAGAAAATAAAATAAATTAACATTCAATATATTTTGCTTGAAGTAGTACTAATTTTTCTTCAATTTAAAAAATAAAATTTCTTCAGCTTCAAACAAATTACATATAGTTAAATCGAAAAAAAAAAATAAAAATTTACCAACGTCTGCTGGCAGACTTAAAAGAAGTAATAAAGAATAAATTAATTGAATTATATCGCAAATATATTGTTATTTTAAGACCATCAAATACACCAATTTAGTACTAGTAATAAATAATTAATTTCCTTTTTAGAATAATTAATTTATTAGATAATTTTATCTGATATACGAAATTAAAAAATTAGCGAAGGCTATTCACTGTTTACAAACTTTAAAATTTAAATTTTTATTGTTATTAAAATTAAACTTTATTTACAATACAACAAATTAAATTTCTAAAAATTATAAAATTTTCATAAAATTTAAGACTGAGGATTAAATTAAATATAAGTTTATATAGTTTAAAAATTCAGATTCGTAAAATTTAAAATATGAATTCTAATTTTGATAAATATTATCAATATCACCGATAACTTAACAAATTGAATATGAAATAAACAGTGGAATTGTCTTGGTCGTATTTTATTATATTAAGTAATATAAAGTTTAAAAAAAATCTGTACTAATTTGAAAAGAAAAAAATTATACACACTAATAAATTAAAAAAAATCGCTTAAAAATTAATCAAATTAAAAGTTTTGGTAGTTAAATAAAAGCTTAAAAAATTGAAGCAGTTTTAAAATTGAAAAAAAAATTATAAATAAAAATTAAGTAATTTAAAATTTTTATTAAATCCAACTATTATATACTTCATTATAGAATTACAATTAAGCTTTAAAATATGATGTGAAATTAAAGTTAAATGGCATTGATAGCTTTTTCGCAACCAAAATAATGTAAAAATGATAGAAGTACACAAAAAAATTTAATTTTTAATAAAATTTTCAATTAAAAATCATACTTTTTTTATAATTAGTTAATATATTATTATAATTATCAAAATATATGCCATCTATTTTACTCTATCATTAAATTTTTACACAAATTCTTAAGAGTTATATTAAGAAAATATAAAAAATTACACTAGGCACCTTTTGAAAATAAGGCTTAATTAATCGGTTTCTATCATATTATCTTAATAAAAAGAATTATCTTGTTTTCAGTTCCGTTTTTAATATAAAACGCAAATATTTATCTCACATCAATGAAATATTTTTTAATTAAAAATACACAAATTGAAATTATGATTTGTGATATCATTAAATAAAAAATAAAACTTGCTGAATTCTAGCACAATTTAAATAAGCTTGATTTAAATTAATAATTTTATAGTTATAGTAAGTTGAATATTCCATAGTAAAATTTAACAGTTTACCAAATTTAATTTGTTTTTTTTTTGTTTTACAAATGTTTAATTTAATTCCGTAAAATTTTCGCAAATTTTTGTTTTATTTTAATTTTTTTTTGTCTTTTTTTTTTTGTCAGTATAGGACATAAAATTTAATAATGCCACATTTTTTATACATTTATTTTTTTTTTTATTTTTTTATTTTGTTTATAAAATATTTTGTCTCTTTATAGGTCAAAAACGAAAACATTTAAAAAGCATTAGACAGAAATGCATTAATCAATAAAAAAAAAACACGCAAACGCAAAAAAAAACATTTAAGGTGCATATATAAAATAAAAAAAAAAATAAAAAATAATTAATTATAAATGCAATAATGCTTACGAATATTGGCACAAGTGAAATTAATTAAAAACAAGAGAACATTTTGTTTTTGACATAGGAACATGAAAATTACAAACACAAAATATAAATTAAGAGGAAGATTCACATATTTTCATTGGGAAATTTTGTTCAAGGTAGATGAAATAAAGAAAGATAAAAATATATATAAAAACAGTTCAGAATAGAAAAAATTTAAAATAAGAATAAAAATTAAAATGTTTTCATTTAATTTTTTTTTTTGTTAATGATCAACCCACAATAAATAATTTACAATGAAATAAATGCATAACTAGTACTAAACAAGTATGTTAATTCATTTATTAAAACAAATTATAGAATTTATATTAGAAATATCAATACATATATTTAAAATAAAAGAATTTCATTATTAATATTTTATTTGAAATCCATTTGCGACAATATAAAATATCTTATGATGAAAATATTAAATAATATATTTTTAAAAAAATAGTAGCTTTACGGCTGATATTGTGCACATTCTCCATAACTAAATTAAATAATTTTATAAATTATTTTTTTTTTTAATTTATAAATAATTTTATAAATTAAACTTAAATTTATATTTTATAAATTTAAGTTTATAAATTTGTATAATTTCAACAGTGATATTTTTCAATACTCTCTTTCTTTCAGACTTTGGGAAATTTTATATTAAATTAATTTTGAGTTCAAACTAAGGAAATTTTTATATTTTTTGGCTTTCATTTTTATATTTTGTTAGTTTTTTTAAATATGTACATACCTATAGAACTGTTGTGTTATATTATAAGGATGGTTTATTTTGAAAGTGAACTAAGTATATTTAAAATAAAAATCAAATATTGCCCTATTTGGGTTTAAAGTAACCAAAAATTTGATTTATATTGTTTTGTATAAATTAAATAACTAATTATTTAGTTATTTGTTTTATAGAATATTTATTTTCCTATCCAATAACACAAGTGTCAATTCCAACTACTCGTATTGCCTTGGATTCATTATTAATTCAATTCCACTATTAATGCCTTGGAAATAAAAGAGTTTTAAAATTGTAAATGCACTTGAGTAACTTTTCAAAATAACCATTCAATAATTTCATATTGAATTTTTGTAAATAAATAAAATTTACTTAAAAGTTTACTTTTTTTTCCAGAAATTTTTTCTATTCAAAATACTTTGTTGAATTCCATAACTAATTGATAGCATTTTTAAATCTCATCCAAGAAATTTAATTTGAATTCAGTAATCAATGATTAATTAGTTAAATTCGTTATCCATTGGAATTTGATATAGATCTTTAAATCAATTTTTTAGAATTTTTATCAATTCTTAAAACATTTCCTCTTTGAGTCATACAATTAAAACAAAGTCTTGCCAAAAAAAAAAATTATTTTAAATAAAATTTAAAAATATTGATATTTCTCTAATAAATCATAATTACAATTATATAGTTCAATTTAAAGGAAATAAAATTTGTTTTGTTTAAATTTATTGATCCAAGTGTTGTGCATTTATTGCTCAGTTTTAAAAATTAAGAAAAAAAACTAAAGATTTTATACAACTAAATTTAATCTTTTTTATAATATAATAGGTTTTTTTTTTTCACTTTTCAAAATAAAAAGGAAATTAACAATATTAAATTTAAAATTTTTTTTTGTGTCTATAAAATTATTTTTTTTAATTTTGTAGTTTAGAATAATATTGGATTAAAATTTTTACATATATATATATATATATACATATATTTCATTTAACTTTTAGTTTGTAAATTAAAAATAGCACACTTCTACAAGCCATTTATTAAATTCAATAAAAAAAAGTAGAAACTTTTTACTATTAAAAAAAGAAAACAATTGTAGTTATTTTTATTTAATTTTTTTTGGTGACAAAAAAAAATATGTACAACCATTTAGTAAAATTATATAAAAAATAAATGTGAGAAATTATGAATAAAATTAAAAAAAAAAATAAGAAAAAAGAAAATAAACGAAAACTTTGCTATAAAGTGGTGTGTTATAAATAAAAAGAGTTTTTTTAAAGTCATCAAATCAGATTAATATTTTTAAAATAAAATTTATTACAATTATTATACTAATATTGTTATCAGAATGGAATAAATACGTATACTGACTTCAAAATTAAAAGCAAGGCGGTATTAAAATACAATTTAGTTTTTTAAATGTAATTACTAAATTGCATAATTATTATAGTATATACCGCAAAAATTTTGAAATCTAGAGTACAAAATAATTTTTGTCATAATAAGAAGGCGACTATACATTTTGATTATGGATGATAACAAAAGGAAAGATAATATGGATCAACATTGGAAATGTTATTAATTTTTTTTTTTTTTTGGCCACCGTTTATAACCACCGGATTATCTTCATAATTTTATAGATTTGTATATTAAAAAAGTATAAATGTGCAATATTCTTCAAAAATGTAACAAAATATAAAACATAATATGAACATTAATTTAATACGCCCTCATTAATCTGATTTGAAAACTTCTAAATAAATTTGAATATTGTGGTTGCATTTCGGTAATTTTAATATTGTCTTCATCGAGAGAAATATTTTGAATTGCACCACAAAATATTTTAAGTATTTAAAATTAGTTTAAAGAAGAAACAATTACCTGATTATAATGTTATTAACAAAAATAAAAAAAAAAAAATAAAAAATTAACATTATGTTTTATAATTTAAATGTTGTATTTTAAGTAGAAATTTCTTTAAAAAATAGCATTAATTTTCAATTTTTGTTTTTTTTTTTATTTTGTTAATTTTTTTAATGTGTTTATATGTATATGTATATTGTGCATAATATGGTTTTACAAATTTGTAAATATGTTCATATATATGTATATACATATATATATATATGCCATAAGTATGTATGTATATATATACATACATATAGATATGTATATATTTATATCCCATTTAATTCTTAGGTATTAATTGTAGCAAAATCGAATTATTGTACAATAAAAAAGATAAATTTGCTGAAAAATTAAAAAAAAATAATTAATATATGAAAATATTTAAAATAAAAAGAACTTGTTAATCAAAAATAAAAAATAAAGAGTTTATTATTATTTCAAATAAAAATTCTTTGTAAGAACTAATTGCACTAGTTTCATCTCTTAAATATAAGAAACCATAAATTTACAAAACATATTCCATTTAAAAGAATTTGATGAAAGCAGTTTTCTCAAAGATCTTACTATATATGTTTTGCAAAAATATATCTTTAGGTGTCGAAATAATTAAAGTTTTTCAAATGACTACATAAATTTTATGCCAAAAAAGCATTTATCTAGGGGTTTACTATGTAATTCGATTTTCGTAAAACAATTTCTGTATTTCCAGAAATGAGAAGAAATTACAATACAAATTTATTGGTGCAACCGTACAATTTTTCTGAATACAAAATCATTTCGCGAAATCGAATTGCATAGTAAGCCCCCAATGTACCAATTTGTTTATTGCTAATAATTAGTATTCATTATAATAAATAATCACCTACATTCTGTTAATCGCGTCACTGACATGGTAAAAAAACATCAATTTGAAAAATATTACTGACGTGATGATTCTGATTTTTACCATCATTTCAAATTTGAACCACTTTTATTTGATATATTTTAATTTAAAATTAGTTTCATAAATTTGTAATAATTTAATTGAATAGATTCTTATTAAAATAATTTCTCTTCTGAATGTTATATTTATGAAAAATAGTGCACAAATACCTTCTATTGTTTCTTAAACTGTTTTCGTTAACGTTATTTTTTTAATAATTTAATGCAAAGGAATTTTTACGTTTTTTTTTATTAATGAACAATATCGCTTCTGATTTTTTTTTTATGTGCAACAAATCTTTGTATTTTCAACAATAACATTTATACTTAGAGTCAGTTTTATTATAGTTCATATTTATTTGTAATTACATTAAACGATAATAAGTGCCGAACTGGTTTATGCACATTTTCTTCTATGGTATGCATAAGAGATCCGGCGGTACTACAACGGACCTAGTTGGCCTATGTGTACCCTTCAGGGAGCCGCGGCAACCTAACTTGACCTAACCTATATGAGAATAATAAGTACGCATGCATTTCCAAAAATTTGGATACTCTGCTCATAATCATGAAAATTGAATAGTGGAATGTAACTATTTGGTGAATAAATAAGATAAAAATAAAAATTCGTTTTTCGCTATATTAGGTACGTTATGTAAATATATTTAACAATAATTAAAAAATTACATTCTCAATTAAACATAATTATTGTTTTTAACTTCAACTCCAAAAGGAAGTATACATACATCCATTTTTTTTTTGTACACATTTATGCATCACAATTATCTTGTTGAGTTTTCAATAACAATAATTTACTGATTTGATTATCATCTAAAACTTTGTAAGCTTTATCGATGACTTCTTGTGATGGTGTTCTCTCACGTGTTAATATCCACACGATAGCTAGAATAAATTTAATAAATATTATTAATTAATATTAGTTCCTTAATTGTAATATCATACAAATATAGAGCTTTCCATATACGACTACCGATTATTATAGTTGAATTGAATTTCAATTAATAATAAATCTAATTAATTCAGTTTTTTTTTTATAGACGCATAGACAGAAACAAAATTAAGCATTACAATTTTGAATAATAATAATATAATTTTGATTATAGAAATTAAATAATTTTTTTTCATTATTATTATTATACAATACCGTGTAAGTAATTACATGTTTAAAAATTTATGATTAAAATTTTAGTCAGAAAAATTTACATTAATGCGAGACTAGAATAGAAAATTCATTTTAGTTTAAGGAAAGTTTATAAAATGTCAACATTTTAAATTTTTGAAATATTTACAAAAAAAATTGAAAAAGATTAAATTTTTTTATCTTAAAAATTTTGTCTCTTAGGCTGTACCTGAAACTCATACAACTCATACATAAGAAAATTTTTGTGTAGTAAGGATACCACATCCCATATAATAAATATGTACATACTTTAAATTTAAAATCTTGAAACTTTTATGTTCAAAAAATGTGGAACAGTTTGTGCGTATAAATTAATTAATAATAACAATATGAAAAATCTTTAATAATGACAACTATAACCAAAACCCTAGCCGTGTTTGCAATAACGTACAAGTACTCTACAAATAATAAAGACATTTTACAACAATATCAGATTATTAATAAATTACCCCATTTAAGAACTTTAATATACTACACAATATTAATTAAATTAAATATTAGATTGGTTAAATTGGTTAGATCTAAAATTATGTTTTATGACTTAAAACTAAAAAAGAAAAGATACTTACTTCCATGCATTTTCTCATTTAATAGATTACTACAGGAATAAACGACCGAATAAGTTGTATAATCAGTTGATAATACCCAATAATTTGATTTTACCCCAACTTTCAAAGAAGAATAATTAAAAAATGATATTAAAATGAGAACTAAACTTAATAGAGCTTACTTTTTCCAACACTTGGAAAATTAACAATAAGTTTTCCTGGTTCTTCTGTTAGTGCAGCATGTCCTTCAATGCTTGATTTGGCTCCGGTACTAATTTCATTAAATAAATAAATAATAAAGGATTAAAATCTTTTTGTTTTTACAAATTCATTTTTAATTTAAAATTTTTTTTTCATACTTACAGTATATTTATTTGTGAATTAACAACTGAAACGGTGCCATTTTCGAATTTACCATAAACAGCTTGCATACATTTTCCACCAACTTCGAAAATTGCTGGATATTTTGAATGTTCGTACCATGTACCAAGATACTAATAATGTAAAGAAGTAATAAAAGAGTATTAATTTCGAATAGTGAAAAATATTTTATATACGATATTGAAAATAAATCAGAAATTCTGAATCAAAGAATCAAAACTATAAAGTAGAAATATGTATAGGTGCTTTTGTTCTCCATTGTTTCAACTTATCTGTTGTCTTGATTCAAAAACGAAAAATATTTAATTTTATTGCATTATATTAAGCATTTCGTGAACTTTCAATTTCGTTAAATTTCAAATAATATTTTGTATAAAAATAATTTGGTTTTATTTCCTCCAGCTTTATTATACCGTCCACTGTTCTATCACTTATTTCCGTCATTAACTACCCAATGTTAAATACTTACGTCATTGATTATCTAAGCAAACGAGAGCATAGAGTAAGCACAGTATAGGCAATAGAACTACGTAATCATAGTGAAATATACAGCAAGTCATTCTTTTAAGAATACTCAAAAAGATTCTATTAAATTTTTACTTATTAATTACTTTTACTCCTATACTCCTATTTTAAATATTTTATTTTAAAAACAGAATGTAGAGCACTCAATACTCGTAATACTCGTAATTATTAAAAAATGGAAAAAATTTTATGAAGAATGTGAAGTGAAAAGAAAATTTAATTACTTTACATATATCAAAGTATTTAAATACAAAATTGCAATTTCAATATTACAATAAAAATATGTACTTAATTAGTGCAATAATTTATAAAAACTTTACAGTCATATTTCTTACTATTGAATGATTTATTTATTTTATAATTTATTGGAAAAGTATACTTATAATATACGTGTGTATGTATGCTCATATTGCATAGGTACTTTTGAAATTTAACAATCGCATTGTTCTTGTAATACAGATAAAATACTTAAAAAAAAATCGAAAAAAGTAAACAAATTGCTGTAAAATTAAAAATTATTTACTTTAGATACAACATTCAAACAAGATACTTTATAGCACTTTTCCAAGAATTTTTTGAAAAAAAGTTCTTATTAGTTTCATTCTGTCCGTCCGTCCGTCCGTGGACATGTTTGCAAAACTTCTACACACTTGCAAGTAAAAAGCTGAAATTATTATTAATTTTATATTATACAAAATTTTTACCTATCTCCCCCCCTATAGAAGTTATACCCCCCCAAAACCCTAAAAATGCCCTTTTTAACTATTTGTTGCATTGAAAACATAAGCATTTTTCAAATTTTGCAAACGCAGAAATTCAGTAGCTTGCTTCTCCTATCGCGGACAAAATGGCCGTTAAAATTTACCGTTATCAAAAATCATTTTTTGCCAAATTTTTGAGGTTGTTTTTTTCTACACCCCAGGTTTTGGGAGCCTGAAATTTTAGCAGCTCTTAGGCACTAACAAACATCTTCAAACCTTCTCAAGTTATCGCCTCTTTAAATTTGTAAAATTTGTATTTTTACTGCCTTATATTTCCGAAACCGCAAGCTTTTTCAAATTTAAAATCCATGACATTAAAAAATATAATTATTTTTCTTAACTCACACAATTAACCTTTAAAATCGAGCATTATGTTAACTCCTCTTTAAAGTAATTTTTATTTCAAAGATTGCCCAAATCATTCATCCTAAATATATGCAATCCTAGAACTAGTTTCGTATATGAATGAAAATAATATTAATAGTGTGGTAGGTATAAATAAACTAAAAAGCAGTATTTTCACTAAAAAGCAGTATTGTTTTTAAAAGCAGTATTTTCACTTGTTGAAGAGAAAAGTGCTACAATACAAACCACTGGTTTGACCCAACTTTTTATTCATTATTATTTTAAACTTTAAGTGTCAACATGTTTATTGATAAGATATGAGAAATTAGGAAATTTCTGTTATAAAATTATACCGTTTCCGATATTAATTTTATAACAGAAATAATTAGAAGCTCATATTTATGAATGTATTTTTAATTTTATATTTTTCAATGAAAAACACTGAAATATTCAATTGAATTCAAATTTGTCCTCAAAACATAATCTAAGCATTTGAAACGTGAATTTTATAAGCTTAAATAGTCTACGTTTGAAAAAGTTTATTAGTTCTCGAAAATAGGCTTTTTTTTAGCAAATTCAAAAATAAAAAAACGATGTCAAATTATTTAAAACTTAAATCTTTTAAGTTTTAAATAAGGTTTTTAGTTTTTCCATAAATCAAGACTTAGTTCCAACTAAAAATGGTCAGAATTAAATTTATTCATAAATTTTTATTGCAAATTTATAAGGTTTTATCAAATATTTAGAAAACCAAACTATGCTTTTAACTATGTATTTACAAAATTTAATAATACGTTTGTAATTTGTCCAAGCTAACAGATAGTAACTTACCTTTTCGACATCCAATTCAGATACAACAGTAATTCCGGTTGGACATTTTCCTGGGGCGGGCACTTGGCAGTTTATAATTCCAAAAATTGAAACAAATGTCACTGCAGTCAAAAATATTCTATGATAGGTTTATAAAAAACAAAATATGATCTTACAAAATTCTCTCAAACAAAAGTAAAATTCGTTATTGATAAAAAAATCACCTACTTATTCATGATTTTAATTTTATTTTAATATTTTTATAAAACTTTTGATTTAATTATGATTTTCTAATTCGTTACAATTTAATGTTTTAAAATTCGATTTCTTTTTTATAAAAATGTTTTATTAGTTTGAAAGTTAGAGGAATACTGAAATGTTTTTGGAGAACGCATTATATTTAAGTATCAATTAAAAAGAAAAATCAAAACTTTATAATTATAAATTCATATCTTACATTTATGTACTCAAGTATTTTTGTAAAATGTAGTATGTAATCAAAATGCGCTTATGTGATAATAAATGTAAACTGTTTGAGCTTTTTCTAAGTACTAGTTATGTCTGGTAAAAGCCTTACATATTGACACTAAAAATTAATGATTTAAATAATAACAATTCGAAGTTTACCTGCATACATATATTTGTTTCTAAATATAGAGATAAATATTTCGCAAACTCACAACATATTTCACAAATCGAAAATTTAATCAAATCTACTATAAAATGTTTTTATATTACTATAAATTTATTTTTAGACAATGTGCTAGCTTCATTCCAGAAGCAATCAAAGTCCCGATTATACTGGTGTCACTTTCAATACAATAGATATATTAACATACACGCTTCTTAAGTTTTTAATTTGAATTTGTACCAAAGGTAAAAACACAATTTTCTTTTAAACAAATTCCTTTAGAAACAGTTTTCTTTAGAAACAGCGTTAAAATTCCTTGTACAAAAGAGTTTATTCAGTACTACATAGTTTATATTCTTCTTGCTTGTGCTGTATCCGCTTGTTTTTTTGTTGATGGAGCCAATGTTATCTCTTTTTATAACATGTGCCAATGCTCCATATAACACTTAAAAAGTGTATTTTGATTTTTCAAGTTAGCTTAAGTGTATAATAAACAACTGATAAAAACATAAGAGGTAACATACAGTTTTCGTAGTTTTGTTCAATTAATTTACAATAATGTGAAGTAACATCCGATGTTTTAAATTTGATATATTGTTCTTAGTAATATTTTACACATTTTTAATAGCTAAAGCGTTCCGTCAAATAAAACTCACCTGTTGAATAAAATTGTTTACTTTTTTTATCAATTAAAATATTATACCTTCTCTAAATAACATGTATGAAATTTTCAAAATTTCCTATAAGAACTTTAGTTTATCTTAATTTAAAAGAAAATGTATAAATTTAATTTATTACACAACGTTTCTGAAAAACAAAAAAATTTAAAAGATTTTCTTATTCCTTTGCGCTTAAAAATTTTCCTATTTAAATAAAAATATTAAATAACTTATTACCCATGTTTTGTTTAAAAAATCCTAATTCGAAAATTTTATTGTAAATCTACAGAACACTAAACAATACACTATTATTTTAATTTTCTCTCATTTTATAATTGTACATTTGAATCCGAAGTTTCATCAGTTTTGTTTTTTTCTAATTCAACTAAAGCGAACATCTGATGGTAAAATGCCCCCAGTTTCGGTAATTTTTTCTGCATAATATTTCTTAAAGTATCAACATATTGCGGTAAAGGTTTGTCAGAATTCGAGTCTCTCCAAGTTAAACCATTGGAATCAGTTTGAAATAAAGTAGGAGACGGTACGTGATCTTTAAGATAGTTCCAAACACATTCTTTCAATACCAAAGCAATCTTAAAAAAATATTTTTTATTTTTTTTTTTAAGATTTAGTTTAAAAAAGTCTTACCTCGGGTGCATCCAGGTATTTAATTATAAGATGTAGATTAGAAATTGGTGGAGGTAACAATTGTCCCATAGCCATCACTTCTAATAATTGACACGTCGTTTTTAATAATTCTTCGTTTACTATTGGTTGTTGAAATTTATTTACTAAAGAATTAAAATAAAATATTTTTATTATTTCCATATTTATATGACATTATTTACCATTTTTTGCCCTCCATTGATGTAAGCAAGATGCACACAAACCCCGTAATAATACGGAAGAATAACATAAAGCTGGTCGGTGCATTGCTATTAAAGAAAGTAAAGCCCACAGTATAGGATGAGCGCGGAAAGCTCTTCTTATCATTAAATCTCGTTCCATTGTTACTTTTGTAAAATCTTCTTCAGGAAATGGTAAACCATTATACATTACATCTGAAGAAACCATTTCAACAAGTAACAAAGATATTTGAACATATCCATCTATGGTTACCTTATCCTGCTCTACACAACAGGCATCTAAAGCTTTTAGATAGCAAGTTTGAAATTCTGAATTCGGATTGTCCGCAATGTATTCACCGTTTTCAGCTTTTAAGCCATTCCCAATTAAACCCGCATGCAGAGTGGACCTATTAGCAGTTGTTCCATGTCCATGTTTTCTATTTAATGTTATTAATTTCTCGCTTTCATCAATCTTCAATTCTTCATCTTCAATAAAGTCTTGCAGTCCGCCAAAGAGATGACTATAAGAATAAAGTGCTCCAACGATTAATTCTCTCAAACAAGCAGCTCTTGCAGCTTTTCTTGCTGAACATTGTCGCTGGAAAAGCATTAAAGCTTGTTTTATTCCAGAAGATCGAATTAAAGAATTTTTTTCATTTAGGCTCATAAAAAAATATTTCACAGTAAGGTACGATAATTTTAAAGTCTAAAAATGAAAATTTTTGTAAAAAAAATTAGTTGAACCTAGTGATAATTAATTGTTTTAATAATTCATCATTACCTCATTCATTCCCATCGTGTGAGATTTATTACCTGCTTCAATCGAGTTCAATAATTTTACTAAAGTATGGGTCATAACAGAAAAATTATCTTTTTTCTCTTCTTCTTCATCATCATCTTCAATCGCTTCACCCTCTTCTTCAATTTCCATTTTTTCGATTTTCTCAATTTTGATACGCTTAATTTCTTGTTCTTTTGGTGGACTGGGATTTGAATATTCAAAGCATTTCTGCCTCATTAAACGATTCAGAGTACTTTCTAATATTTTTAGCACTTTTAAAATGCAATCATTTAATAATTCTTGAATCGGCTGATTTCGTAAGAAGGGGATAGAAGAAGACTTTTCAAGACTAAAATTAAAATGAGTAATTAAAAATTCTTTTTAAACATTGTTTTTTCATACACTGATAATGAATATAAGTTTTTAATTGCACTCAAACTTTCATCCTGCTTTTCAGGACTGTGAAACTGAATTTTTAACAAAATCCTCTCAAGGACCATTTCCAAACCTGGACGAAGAGTGGGATATTCTATGACACCACTTAAACCTCCAATTAATCGAATTAATGGGCCTATCCCGTTTTTATTTCCTTCATATGACATTGTCAACATTTCAGATATTGTCTGATAATACACGTGAGGATATTGTGTTGCTTTGATAATAAAAATATTTAAATATAAAAATAAATAAAATATTTTAAAGATCATACAAACTAATAATATAAGTCTGACAGCTGTTTGTTGCTCAATGAATATTGGGCTTTTCGCTGATTTCCATAATAACCCTTTTGATTCTTCTTTAGATAACTCTTCTAAGAGCGGACATGACATATTTACCAAAACCATGTGCTCAAGTTCTTGAAGAGCACATTCTATAAAGTCGTGGCACCAGATAAATTTTTCTGCAAGCTTAGCAACAATCATTAATAATTTGGAACCGTTTACTTTGATTTTGAGTGCTAGATTATTCATAGACGGTTGCATGTCCCTAAAAGTAGGGTTTTCCATCCAAATTGTTAGCATCCATGTTTGTCGAGTTATCGCTTCAAGATAACTCTCATTATCTATTATTAAAATTTTTTAAGTTATTTTTCGAAATTATTGCCTAAACTAAAAAACTCACAAATTTCTAAAAATTCCGTCACAACAACTTGTAATACCACTTCTGAACAAGTTGCCAGTTGTAATAAATAAGGTACTATCTGAACGTGCAGTTTAGTTTTTGGTTTAAGCCCATCTTCAAGCAGCTCTTTTAATGATTTCTTTAAGTCCTTTTCATGAGCAAAAGACAAATAGTCCAGAATACCAATTTCTGAATCGAAATTACATCGAAAATCTTCACAATATTTTTTTAAGCCGCATTGTAAGACTTGTGATATAATTTTCAAAGGAAAACAACCACCAAGGCGCGCTACCACCCAATCGAATGTTGGTGAATACTTTTGAAACGTGCCTGGAACGGAATATCAACACAATAACAATATATTTTTGTATGACCATAAAATATTTACCAAGAAGTGTTTCTACACAAATTTCCGCTTCAGAGTTATTCATCTTTCGAAACGACAACGCAATCAAACCTAATAAACACTTAACAGCCGCACAATTAAGCCATAAATTGCAGGCAGCTCCAATATCCATTTTTCCAGGCCAATATTTGTTTGATAATTTACCAACTAATTCCAAACTCCAATTCGCAATTAAAGGACCCCAAGCTGGTGGTCCCTTTGCAATTAAGGCCTCCAGTGCTTCTTGTATATCTTGGATGTACCTAAAATTGACACATCAATTTTTTTGTTCAATTAATAACATATGAAACGTTTACTCTTCTTCTGAAATATTTGTTTGGCCATCTTTCGGCGTACTAGACATAAAATTTCCAACAGATATATCAAAAACCAATGAAAAATACTCAAACACAACCTCTCTAGCTGCTGGCAAATTTTCTAGTAGGTTTAAGGAACTTCTCACTAATTGCATTGAAGTAACATTTTTAGGATGTCCTCTAAAATTAGCTAAGCTAAATATAAATTGTTTCAATTCCGCTAATATAGGCTGTTTAATCATAATAAAAGTAAAAACTATTAAAAAGTTCAAATTTAAAAAAAAAATTGTTTATAAAACTAAAGCAACAATGTTATTTTAACAATAAAAAACTGACGTTTATCATTATCTTGACAATAATGCCACAAAAAATTATCGCTGCCAGTATTGCCATAATATATCTTAATATAAAAATCTTTATAATAAAGTAAAATTTTTCAATTACAAGAGAATTGTGCTGTCACAGGTCATATCTTGACTGGAAGTTAACTGTTTGTTTTCCAATTCATTCTTTTTTGTGAAATTTTGCACTTTTAACCTAACAAAATTTTACTATTACATTTTCCCAATAAATATTAGGTATGTCTGGTATAAGAAAGTTTTTAAAAACTTGAATACTTACAAAACTTTATAAAGTTTCAGTATGCAAAGCGTCTGTGATAATAGTTTTTGGGAAAAAATTAGCGAAAACGATGATAAATTAAAATTTATTGTTTTAAAAACATTTAGCTGTCGAAACATATGTTCTTCTTTATGTTCGTACCGTTAATGTTTGATAAGTATTTTGAATTTTGAAGTTTTTTATAAATTTTTAAGTATGTACATATATTTTTTTAAATCATATATTTTTTTGCGAGAAAAGACGTCACTCTTTTAAAAGACGCTGTTTGCGTTGTCACAACGCGTAGCTTTTTTTTTGTTCAAGAGATGTAAGACGACAGTTGCGCGTAGGAAAATACTTAACATATTTGCTTGGTTGCAGACAGACCTAATAAATAAGACTAACTATTATTCTTTTGTTACTTAATTGTTGATTTTAAATTTTTTTTGTTAAGCAATATCTGAATGAAATTTTTTAAGAGCCATAATTTTGTACGTTTTTTGCACCTTGTGTGTTTGTCAAAAACAGTTATAGTTTAGCGAGGTGACCGTATGCGGAAAATAATTTTTCATTAATACATATCATAAATAATGTTTTGTGTTAAATTTTATTTTATTAATAAAAACTAAAAATTCAAAATTATGTTTTAAAAGGAAAAAAAATTTTTCATTTTTTTTCAATCATCATAATACTTAAGATACTTAAGGTACTGATACTAATACATGCATTACTTTTACAATAATACATGCTTTACTTTTATATTTATGTAACGTATATAAAAATTAATAAGCATTTTGTTACCAATTTTCGTTTTTATTTGCAAAGATACTTGAAAACGCGTGGATACAGAACTTGCGTCCACATACTTTACATAACAAATGTAAGGTCTTAAAACAACATATGTAACTGACATTTTTTCCCGCCAATATTTTTTATTTTGGACTTACGTTTTGAGTTCAGAATTTTGAATAATTGGTTTGTCTGACATTTCTCTTAAATACCGGTCACTTACCGGTCCATACAACTAAAATTTTTGAAATTTTGAATTCCAGTTTTAATTTTAATGTTAACGAATGTATTGAAAAAAATTATTAAAAATAATTTTAGTTCTTATGGCAAAATTTTTAAAATGAGAAAAAATTGTTAGAAGCAGAAACAAAAATGTTATTCACCATGAATATTCTAAAACATGTTTCAGTTGTTGAAAAATAATGGTGTAAAAGATTTGTGAACATGGATGTTCGATAGATTCAATAAAGGATAATGATGCCAGTAATTATTTATGTACATAATACCTTCATACATATGTATATTTATTATTGCCTAAATATTTAGGTAATTTGAAAAGGATTCTCATTTATTAAGTTATTCGTGGAACAGAAGTATGTAATATACATAAGAACATACAGATACATAGTGCATACCTAAATATTTTTATATAAATGTGAAAAATGTTTTAACAGCAAAATTTGAGTAAAATTTTCATTACTGGAAAGATTCATAAAGCAGTTATCATACATATTATAATGTCTATATATACCTAACAGATATGAAGACATTAATAGGTACATATTTACTGCAGTTTCGGTAATAGTTCCTAGTTAGCAACTGGGCAAAATTCTATAAAAAATTTCAAGGTTTCAAAAAATTTGTATTTCTTATTACGAATAACATTAATCTTCCAGAAATAATAATATATAAGTACTTACTAATTCTAAAAATAGTTTAAGATATTAAGATAGATGTTACTCGACCTTATAGGTATATGTATACCTAAATAAGTAATTATGCAAATTTTTATTTTATATATTATATTTACATACATGTCTAGATATGCATTACATAATGTAACATTTAAATATAATATGTTGGTATAAAAAAATATGAGTTCGATGCCATCAATTTTCTTAAAAAGATTTATAGGTGTTTTTAATCTTCTTTAAAGTGTTTTTGGAGTACCCAGCTAACTATAATTTGAAAATTCTTGTCGGCTATACGTGTAGGAGCATTATTATTATTAGATAATAAAATTTTATAATTAAGATGGAATCAACTTTTAATAAAAGCTAAAATTGAAATTTTAATCGTCGACATGATATTAAAATATATAAAAAGAATAGGAAACGTTTAATTTTTATAACACCACTCATCAATTAAGAGAATATTTTCAATTAGAACTAGAAACAAAATATTGATTTCATGCAATTTTGGTATGAAATAATTAATTATAAAAATATTGTATAAGCACTTAAAAATATTTTTTAGCTGTTATTTTACGTACCTACTTGTTTTGTTCTTAAATTTTTCATTTATAAAAAAGAATCTTCCATAAAATTCTTTTTCCATAAATCAAAATTTCAAGGTGAAGTCAAAAAACAATCAATAAATTTTTATATGGAAATAGTAAGAGTACTCTTTAATTTTTTATTTTTGGTAAAGTAAAATTTTTCATCTAAACATACTTATTTATATACATATGTATATTGTATATATTAGGTTTACGTTTATTTAAGGGAATTTTTTTATTTTACGTCTTCAAATAAAAATTATCTAATATTAATCAGATAATTATTAAATTTGTATACGAGTATAGTATAGTTCTTGTTTATATCCTTTTAGGTTTTTTTTTAATTGAAAAGTTGTCTAAATGTACATAAATGGATGTGGGCAAATATAAAAATTTTTTTTTACAAAAACCCGATTGCTTTATACTATGAGTTGTATTAAAATATTACTTTGTGAGCGTATTTAAATATATTTTTATTATTCTAATATTGTTCCTATATTTTACAGATTCTTTACCATAAAATTCTTTTTCAAACAAGAAATATTTGTAATAGTATTACGAACATATATTTGAAAGCTGGTAACTAAGTCTTAATACCATCACAGTGAGTCTGACCTACCGAAATAACCGCCGTAAACACAAGTCTTTGATATAAATATTTTTTCAGCGAATTTGGACATTCTATACAATGAATTGGACAACACATCCTATGGTATAGAAACCTGTTCTTAGCTAGCGCATATTTGAAAGCCATAATACAATATATGCAAAGTTGCATCCATGGAACGACAAAAAATACACTAATATAGCTGTATGAATCAAAGAATTGTTCTGACTTATTTTTGAAAGACTTCGTATAATAATAAGTTTTTAGCATTGTTTATTAATATTGTATCTCAAAATATTCGCCATAATTTCGTAAATAAATATCTCATTGTAATTCGAGTACTTATCATCATACGTATACATACATATTTTTTGTTTTGTACATAACTCTTTTAATAATTAATAATTTTTAGTTGTAAATAATATGCGTATACGTGGCCTAAAAATTACAAACGTATCTACTTCTATTCAAATGTGAACGGAAGATGAATTTTTCAATTTTAAAATAATTATAAAGAATGCATTTTTGATTCGATGGTTAATTCATATCAGTAAAATCTTTATACAATTATGTACATATATGTATATTATATTGCAAACAGTTAAATGTTAGAAAAACAACAATCATGACTAAATACAGACACTAGACCTTAGCACGTCTTTTGCAAACAAATTGCAAAAGTAATGAATTTCAATATTTTTTGACGCTAGTCTCATGCATATCAGTTCTAACAGCTAGAACACGTAATTGTTTATTTTTTAGGTTTTTTTTTGTATTCTTAACAAGAATAGGAATAATTTTCAAAAATATTGATTTCTTCCATCTGCAAAACATCTATCACTTCCAAATGGAAGTGATAGATGTTTTGCAGAAGTATTTTTTAGGTTTTTTTTTGTATTCTTAACAAGAATAGGAATAATTTTCAAAAATATTGATTTCTTCCATCTGCAAAACATCTATCACTTCCAAATGGAAGTGATAGATGTTTTTGATATGATCGCCAGATTTATGGATGACATTCTGGATAAGTGCCATTCTAAAAATAAATATCAAAATTTACTTTCTGCATAAAATAATGTTTTTATGCTAAATGTTATTTGAAAAACATTATATACCAAAATTTATTAAATGAATTTGTATTTTTCTTTTATTAACACAAAAATTTTGTATAATCAAATTTGTTAATTAATATAAATTAGTAAAAAGTTCAATTAGATTAGGATTTTAATAATGGATGAGTTATAAATGTGCATTCTTTAAATTTCTTTTTGCTTGAGTGTCAGTTACGTAAGCATAAAATAATGAGTTGCTATTCTTAATAACCAATATTAACCTTAACTTATAACTTAATAATAACCAACACCCTTATTGTGCTACTTTTTTTTTTTTAAATGAATATTTTAAATATTGTACACGAAATTAAAATAATTTTATGTATTTTTTTAATTTTTTGAAAGACACCATATACAAACTTACTATTACGTTTTATAAGTTAAGAATACTCAACGTACTGTGTATGTCGTGTAAGAATTTATAATAATATAGTATACACTTACATACTTCACTTACATACTTAATTTGGAATGTCTTTTCGAAAATGGTTCACTCTCGAGACATGTTTTAATTTAACCTCTTGACTTAAATTAATGACTTGAATATTTTAGGACTTTTATTTCATCATTATAGTAGCAAAATATAAAATGTAAACATTTTAAGCTGTTGAAATTCATTTGGAATGATTTAATTTAATTTTTTATATTAAATCTAATGGATGATATGTTTTATATCTCAATACTATAATACATATA